AAGCCTTTCTCCTTTCAACAGATATAGCTTAATTGTTCATTGCTTCAATGGACGTCAAATTATTTTGACATCCTCACCTCCTCCCGTGGAAAATTCACCTACAGCAGAAAGAAAAACCTTATCTCTTTTGTGATTGGTCAGTTTTCATCTTTACGTCAAAAAAGAGGCGGGCAGAACAAATAAAAAGATCATCAAATGTGAAGGAAATATGTTTAGAATCAATGATGGTGGAAGAGAAAAGCGAAAAACATATTCTAAAATCCTAATATTTTTATATTTCGTAGGCGATCATGGCTCTCCGCAACTTCTTATCGTTTTTGAGCACCTTGATAAGATCCAGAGAAGAATCAGCAATATTAGTAGTCCTTATCTGACAGCTCAGCTACAGACGTTTTCCCACCGCCGTAAGGTTGCCCCTCTGTACCTTTTTTTACATAAATACTTTCATGTTAACTGCTCTTCACTATTGTACCTAGACTTCATGAATTTAAAAGCAGCACTAGATTTTCGTCAAGATCTCATCAATTTACAGTTGAACTGGTTAAATGTAGCCGTAAATTCTATACTAACAGTTTCTTTTCTCGCACTTCTTGCATGTGGAACTCCTTCCCGACTCGATGCTTTCCATCCAACTTTAATCAGCAATAATGTATATGCAACGTCAAACCCTATCTACTCCCCTCCTGGCTACTCTTTACTCTTCCCGCTCATTATTAATGCTTCTGTTCCTAATTCTTGTACACCTAGTAACCCCTTGTGTCTAATGGCCTTATTGCCTTGCAGTGGGGTGATATCGTAATGGCCTGTATCGATTGTATTGTTGCGCTAGTCTTCACAGCTGTCTTTCGGCCAATGCACAGAAGTCGCACTATCTTTGTCTTTTAATCAGTCATTTTTTTTAGTCAGAAGAAAATGTAATATTAAACAGCAAAACGCATATAGTCTGTATAGGCTGCTTTTATTGTTTCCAGTCGGGAAGTTTTGCCAACAACTTGTCAACGACGGAGTGAGCGAAGTGGGGCAAAGGAACTCTACCATTCTAGCAGATGAAAACCCATATATTACAAGGTGGAAATTCGAACTAAAGAATTTTAGAAGTAGAATATCCCTTTTTTAACATGTAATCTTGCCACGTCGCTAAATGCAGATTCGTTAATACAAGGACGAGTAAGAAGGCATCGCTATATCCGTCATCTTTTTCTTTTTTGCGGAACTTGTGACTGTCAACTGATGCAAGCAAATATATCATATATCAGAAACAATATATCTTCAAAATCTTGGGTTTATTCTTATTTTTTCAGATTTCTTTTAATTCGTAACTTTCACTTACTCTGCTCTCTTTCTATCATACAATATTATACTATCGTTACTAAACTTGACACGCACTGGGGGCCATACAAAATTGATTTCTCGTAAAGTGAAACAATAAAACTGTGTATACAATCAACACATTTGCCGCGTGTAAGGAACATTTCTGTATCTTTAAAACATTAAAAGAAACTATAACCAAAGAATTTAAAAAAGGATTTTATTCCTATTTTGACACTCCGATTGACAGAAGACGGTAAGTGCGACACTTGCGATCTGTAGAATTATTGACCAAGGACACATTCCAAAAGCTGATCAAAATATTGCGAGGCAGCAGGATTTCTTTGGTAACAAAGAAAAGAATATTAAACTGTTACGTGGCAGCTGTTCTTCTTTACGGCAGCGAATGTTCGACGATTTCATCAAGAATGAGGAAGATATTCGAAGCGACGATGTGGTTCTACAGAAGAATGCTAAGGATATCATGGACGGAGCCTGTGAGCAACGATGAGATCTTAGAGATGTTGCAAACAAGGAGAAGGCTTTATACTTTAACATCAGACAGAGGCAGCTGAAGTTTCTGGGACACATAATGAGGGCCTGGAGAATCTGATACTCACGGATCAAATAGACGGAAAGAGAGGCAAGGGGAAACAGCGCGTGACATACCTGACGAGCATGAACACGTGGATGACAGAACGTGCTCTGAGGGAGGAAGCAGAGGGAAGGAGCTTGCTGAGAGCTGCAAAGGATAGAGGGAGATGGAGAGCCATGATAGCCTACCTATTGAAAGAAGATGGCACATAAAAAGAAAGAAATGATTGACGCTTCTTACCGCGATGAAATATAATAAATTATAAATAGAGGAGATCAGGCTGCGTGACTGATAAATATGTAACTTGAGATTTTTATATTGTTAAAATTATCATTTGAATAGATTATGCTTTCATTTAGATTGAACATGATTAAATAATTTAATTTGCCAGGTTATTCGAACATTTTAGGTGAGATGGTATTAATTATAACACTATGTAAGAAAGAATTCCCTTGCTTTTTTTCCCGTTTCGTGTATATTTCCAGCATCCAGAATATGATGGTAGCCTTCATCTATATAATAAATGCGAATGTCTGTGCGTCACTGTGTCACTTCAACTTTACTCCAAGAGGTCGTAGCCTAACATATACCATTAAGGAATCCTGCCTACTCCGTGAGCAAATTAAAAACACTCCATGCTGGATCTGGACCGGCAACCCTGAAATCTTCGATTCTCAAGTTTTCATTACTTCGATTTTTTCCGACGATTTTTTTTGTTCGATAACAGTTTTTATAATTTGGAAATAAATTTGGGAATTAAAAAAATTAATTGCAAAATCCAGCGAAAGTCACCCATGAAATAAAAATAATTGTTTGTATGGAAAGTAAAGACCTACGTACATCAAATTGTATTTAAATTAAGTGGCGACAGAAGAATTATCGTTGAACTTTTAAAAGGTAAGCTTAAATATTAATGCAATACTTAAATGCAGCGATCAATTTTGAGTTCTTCTCTAGTTTATTGTTGCCTATTGCATCTACTCACCCCAAACTATTGTGATGAAGGTTTAGTCAAGAGACCTCCGCGGGAACTAGATTAAATGCCTCCCGATAGGGTGGCTTTTAAGCTAGTAACCTATATATATATATGTATGTGTGTGTGTGTGTGTGTGTATATATATATATTATATATATATATATATATATATATATATATATATATATATATATATATATATATATATATATATATATATATATATATATATATATATATATATATATATATATATATATATATATATATATATATATATATATATATATATATATATATATATATATATTTTTCTGATACACATATATATATATATATATATATATATATAATAAATGCGAATGCTAGTGTGTCACTGTGTCAGACTTTATTCAGCTTGACTCCTAGAGGCCGTAGCTCAACATATTATACCATTTTGCAAACAGACCGACGCCGTGAGAAAATTAAAAACATTCCGGGTCGAATCCAGACCTCCAATCCTGAAAATTTGGATTCCCAAGTTTTCATCACTTCGAATTTTTTCGGCGATTTTTTTTTTTTTTTTTTTTTGCGACAAATTTTTTGTACGATAACAATTTTATAAGTTGGAATTAAATTTCGAAATAACCGAAATTAATCGCGAAATCCAGCGAAAGTCACCCATGAAATAAAAATAATTGTTTGTACGGAAAGTAAGGACCTACGTACATCAAATTGTACTTAAATTAAGTGGCGGCAGAAGAATTATCGTTGAACTTTTAAACGTTAAGCTTAAATATTAATGCAATACTTAAATGCAGCGATCAATTTTGAGTTCTGTAGTTTATTGTTGCCTATCGCATCTATCGATCCTTAACTATCGTGATGAAGGTCCAGTCAAGAGACCTCTGCAGGAGCTAACTTAAATGCCAATAGGGAGGCTTTTAAACTAGTGGCATCAACATATTGTCATTTAAATCAAGAATCAGTTTCTGTCAGGTGTAACTTATGTAATATTGTGGAGTGCTGCAGCCATGTAATATTATGTCATCTTTTCTATATTAAGATGGTCCTGATGAGAAAAACAATCGTCACTGTATTAGATGAAAATAGAGAATACTACGAAAGACGTTGAAACTGCTGTAATTGTGATGTTATAAAATTTACATCTTTTAACATCATGAATCCAGTCAATGTGACAGCTGCTTTACTGATAAGACTACAGAGACTTGTGGCTGCAGGACTCTACAATATACCTCATCAACTTTATTTACATATAAGTGTCGACTGTATTAATACTATTTCATTTTTAATCCCCTAGATGAAACATTGTCAGCTGTTATTATTTTTCTCATTTTGTATGTTTTTTTCATTTTAATTTCAACTGCTTTTTATCACAATTTTCAAATTGTAATTCTACGCTGGTTAGCTTAAAATATGGATCGAAAGATCAGAATAAACTTCAGGCGAAACCCGTTTTTGTTTAGCATTTATGACATCTGTTAATGTGATAGCTGTCTCTATTATTAGGCTACGGGGATCATCGGCTGCCGTTACACAGAACTAAATATTGCCATTGTTTTTTTTCTCTAAACGACCGATACGACACTTTTTCTACAGCGTAAATATTATATAAAATTTGCAATGTTTTTTTTTAATTTTTTCAATGATTATAAATTTTTACGAGTATTTCTTATATTTTAATTTGAAAACATTTTTTGTAACTCTGATTTCGCTATTCTATGGTCGATTTTTAAGCAATAAAAATAATAACCACCTGAGATAAAAAACAAGTGAAATTAAGACAAAAAATATATTGGAAAAAATAATAATATGGCATTTTGATAGCGCTTTGGAACTTCTGTATTTTTTCTTTTGCAATTCTACTAACTTTCGTATAAGTTTGGTTTGGTTTGGTTTGTTTTGTTTTTTAATACCGCCATTTTATTTTTATTTATTTATTTATTTTTGCTGGTAATATTTTCTTTTGCCAAAAATCTATTTCTGGTAATATTTTCCATAAAAAATGTGTTACTGATAAAAAAAAAAATAAATTCAAAAATGTATTGCAGGTAATAATTTTTTTCAAAATATTTTTTTCTTCAAAAGTTTATTGCTGGTAATAAATTTTTAAAAAGTATT